CAGTAACATGAATGATAAGCCCCAGAGATCAAATTCACATTATATGAGATGAACAACTGTATACAGTAATAAATAGTGGTGCAGTTTTGATGGCCACTGGTATCCACTTCGGCTGTACAGTAAGTGCAGTGAAAAGAACACCAGTGGTCACAAAAAATGCTGTTTTAATATATTTTACTTTCTTTAATATGGGATTTATTTCTATTCTTTTTTAATTTTTTCAAGCTTTTCCCACACAATGCAGGGTGGTCAGAAACAAAAGAATAGAGGTTGTACAAGTTTTATCAAATATACATATAATTCGAAACACTCGTGAAACCATTACTAAGAATAAGATTAGCAAAAACTTCAGGATAAATAGAAGCCAAATATTAAAATAATTTTTTTAGGTCTGCATATGAATGGTAGACACGCATTTGGCAATGTCAGCATAATCTGGCAACTACGTAGACTACATTCCAAGTTGTCTAAAGGACCCAGGATATAAAGTTGATCTACATTTCCCACGCATATTCTTTTAGCTTGTGCTGATTTCTCGTGCATCACAGTGAATTTATTTATTCATAACAGTGTTGTGAGAGTTTTGAACCATGCATCGCATTGCTGGCAAGAGTGAAGGGGTGGAGAAACGTAAAAAGTGCAAGGACATTGCACCACGTGGTAATAGTGTGGTGCCTCCTGATGCCTCGCCCTAGTGAAATATTATTTTGTTCACAAATTCTCTTCTATTACTATTTTTTCTAAACATGTACGCTTTATAAAAGATTATGGCCCATCTTGCAATCACATGAAATAACGAAGATATAACATAGTGTATAAAAATTTTCATTCAGCATAAACAACAATTTTGTGTTCTACTCGCGTTTACGTATAGAAATAATTATTTTATCATTATTACTTATATAAAACTGTTTGTAGATAATTTATTTACAATGATAATGCAGAAAACCCCATCTTTTTATCTCAAATAGCAAACTTGCTATGATTCATTATGTACAATTATCTCTCGTGTGGTGAGGTGAGCAACAGACCCGAGCATATCGTGGGAGAGCACCTACCGAATCCCAAGAGTGTGATTGGAAAAAGATGAGGGAAAGAGGGCCAGGGGAAGGCAGACAGATATAAAAACTTAAAGGATTTGTAAAAATAACCCCAGGGAGGACTGTGGTCGCCAACCATCAGATGAGGACAGTGCTCTAATTGATTGATTACTTAATGATCTTCTCATAGGGGCTGGGACCCAAGCCCTCCTCCCTAAAGTGACAGCAGTATTCCATGTGAAACAAGTACATAAAGCCTTTAACCCTTAACTGGTGAATAAGGGTTACCTACTCTGCCCCTTATGAACAACATGTACTGTAAGGAATATGTAATGTCCACTGATGATGGCTGCCATCCCTACAGCTAACTTCCACTGATGATGGCTGCCATCCCTACAGCTAACTTCCACTGATGATGGCTGCCATCCGTACAGCTAACTTCCACTGATGATGGCTGCCATCCGTACAGCTAACTTCCACTAATGATGGCTGCCATCCATCCAGCTAACTTTCACTGATGATGGCTGCCATCCCTACAGCTAACTTTCACTGATGATGGCTGCCATCCCTACAGCTAACTTCCACTAATGATGGCTACCATCCATATAGTCAACTTCCACTGATGATGGCTGCCATCCCTACAGCTAACTTTCACTGATGATGGCTGCCATCCCTACAGCTAACTTTCACTGATGATGGCTGCCATCCCTACAGCCAACTTCCACCGATGATGACCGCCATCCCCACAGCTAACTTCCACCAATGATGGCTGCCATCCATATAGTCAACTTCCATTCGATGATGGCTGCCATCCCTACAGCCAACTTCCACTGATGATGACTGCCATCCCCACAGCTAACTTCACTGATGATGACTGCCATCCCTACAGCTAATCTTTCACTGATGATGGCTGCCATCCCTCACAGCTAACTTTCACTGATGATGGCTGCCATCCCTACAGCTAACTCACTGATGATGGCTGCCATCCCCACAGCTAACTTCCACCACGATGGCTGCCATCCCCACAGCTAACTTTTCACTGATGATACGCCCATCCCTACAGCCAACTCACTGATGATGACTCGCCATCCCTACAGCTAACTCTCCACTGATGATGGCTGCCATCCCTACAGAGCTAGCTTCCACCGATGATGACCACATCCCTACAGCTAATCCTCACTGATGATGGCTGCCATCCCTACAGCTAACTTTCACTGATGATGGCTGCCATCCCTACAGCTAACTTTTCACGATGATGGCTGCCATCCCTACAGCTAACTTCCACTGATGATGACTGCCATCCCTACAGCTAATCCTCCACTGATGATGACTGCCATCCCCACAGCTAACTTCCACTGATGATGACTGCCAACTTTACAGCTAACTTTCACTGATGATGGCTGCCATCCCTACAGCTAACTTCACTGATGATGGCTGCCATCCCTACAGCTAACTTTCACTGATGATGGCGGCCATCCCCACAGCCAATCTCCACTGATGATGGCGCCATCCCTCATTAACTTAAACTGACGACAGCTGCCATCCCCACAGCTAACTTCCACTGATGATGGCTGCCATCCCCACAGCTAACTTCCACTGATGATGGCTGCCATCCCTACAGCTAACTTCCACTGATGATGGCTGCTGTACCTACAGCTAACTTCCACTGATGATAGCTGCCATCCCTACAGCTAACTTCCACTGATGACAGCTGCTGTCCCTACAGTTAACTTCCACTGATGATGGCTGCTGTCCCTACAGCTAACTTCCACTGATGATGGCTGCTGTCCCTACAGCTAACTTCCACTGATGATAGCTGCCATCCCTACAGCTAACTTCCACTGATGATGGCTGCTGTCCCTACAGCTAACTTCCACTGATGATGACTGCTGTCCCTACAGTTAACTTCCACAGATGTCTGCCTACAGCTAACTTCCACTGATGATGACTGCCATCCCTACAGCCAACTTCCACTGATGATGGCTGCCATCCCCACAGCCAACTTCACCGATGATGCCACATCCCTACAGCTAACTTCACTGATGATGACCGCCATCCCTGCCATTAACTTCCACCGATGATGGCCATCCCCACAGCTAACTGACTTATGATGGCCACCGGCCCTACAGCTAACATCCACTTATGATGGCCACCGTCCCCACAGCTAACTTCCACTGATGATGACCACCGTCCCCACAGCTAACTTCCACTGATGATGACCACTGTCCCCACAGCTAACTTCCACTGATGATGGCCACCATCCCTACAGCTAACTTCCACTGATGATGGCCACCGTCCCTGCAGCTAACTTCCACTGATGATGACCACCGTCCCCACAGCTAACTTCCACTGATGATGACCGCCATCCCTACAGCCACTTCCACTGATGATGGCTGCCATCCTGCCAGCTAACTTCCACTGATGATGGCTGCCATCCCTACAGCTAACTTCCACTGATGATGGCTGCCATCCCTACAGCTATCTTCCACTGATGATGACTGCCATCCCTACAGCCAACTTCCACTGATTATGGCTGCCATCCCCACAGCCAACTTCCACTGATGATGGCTGCCATCCCCACAGCCAACTTCCACTGATTATGGCTGCCATCCCCACAGCCAACTTCCACTGATGATGGCTGCCATCCCTACAGCCAACTTCCACTGATGATGGCTGCCAACCCTCCAGGCAAGATAGGCAGAGTGACAGGAGACTTATCAACATACAATAGGTGCCGATTGCATTAGTGTTGTTTTTGGCTGTACTCATGTTGCAAAAATCATAAAATGAAAGACCTAGGGTGGCCAGGGCCAATTTTATGCTATAGACACTTTACATATTGGGAGCAATCCCTGGTAATGTTACTTTTTAAGTGACAAGGACATAATTATGAGAGCCGAGTTTAATCACAGTTTAAGTACAGTACAGTATTGTATTAGCATGGAATTTGGGTTTAATTATATATGAGCAAGCAATGGTACTGCATTACCATCTACACCCTAAACCAACACATACCCTAAGCAGCCAGATGAGGGAAGGAATAAGAATTAGGATGACTCCTGGAGGAGTGAGGCATTGTAGACTGGACGAAAAGATTGATAAAATAATGTATAACCTTCTCTTATATTCTCACACTATTCAGTACCCTTTTTATGCAAAATTATTTCAATCACAGATTTTTTTCAACACTGTCTGGAAAATATATCTCTGAGTATAGCATATTTTTACTTTCAAGTGTTTTCCTCCTTATGTGAGGTGGCTGGATACAAGAATAAACACACATACATTTTATCTTCAATCACTGTCACAATCATTCAGACGGTAGCAAAATGTGTTCTGCCATGATGCCCCCCCTTCACAACAAGGCCCCAAGTCAGTAACTCCTCTCACTCATGTACACTGTCGCTTCCTGGATGTCCATCCTCATCCTTTCATCCTCTTGGTCTTCCCCACGAATCAACAAATTTTTACTAATATTTTGCTGACCATATTCTCAACACTGTATGTCTTATTTCTGTACAGCACTTACAAATTCATCTATCCTCCTTATATCGGTACAGCATTTCTTATTCTTTGGATCCTATTTGCTTCACAAAAAACTCAAAGACACATCCTTTCTGTTGCTTCTATTATGCTCCTATACAAGCAGCATCACATTAATAAAAACCCTAAGTGCTGTTTCCCAATACATGGGGTGGCAACCTCCCAGGTAAGAATAAGTAATTTAAATCTAGGCTTGTGGTGAACAGTGCAAATCATGGCAGGAAATGCATTGCACATCTGTTAAAATACCTAAATTTACACTGCAATAAATTTCTACAAACAGTACTATACTCACCAGACCATAGCTGCCCTGACTTACAAATAACTATACTTAAATAAGAAATACCATCCGAATAGCTTTATTAAACAAATTTCACCCAAATAATCAAACAAAAGTGTTAGTGATGTGGTACCAACCTGGCAGCTTTTAAAACAGATTTAGTCTGTGTTCTGGGAGGTGCTGGAGGGGGAGGAGCTGTAGCAGCGGATGGAGGCTTCTTGGTCACCACCGTCACACACATTGGCTGTCCATCAAGCTGGCGGTTATTGAACACTTCAACTGACCTACAGAATAATACCACACTTAATATAATTCTGGTTAAACATAAAGGGCAAATTGCTATTTCTTCTCTAGACTGTATTACTTAAGCCTCATTAGGTCATGAACATTAATGATACTGAAGCTGGGACCTTGTTGTGGTAGGGGGAACATGTCGGTTATGGCAGCCAGAATATTCAATGTCAACAAATGTGAGGCATTTAGAGAGTTCATGTCATATCAAAAGGTGGCATCAAATATTGAGAAAAATAATGATATACAGTTTTATGACAGGTTTACTGAGATCATCATCCTGAGAACAGCAGCAACATAACCTGTCCTCAGTGTAATGATTGTTTATCAGACCACAGCTTACAGCCCAGAGAATTACAACACATATAACAGTGAGTACAGTACAGGCCTCGTGGTACCCCAGCATACCAGGTTGACACACCCTGGGTCAGGACCCAAGGGACCTGACCCCGGCCACTAATTAAGTGAGTTAGCGGGTGACTTGCCCAAACCACACCCAGCCAAAACACACCCTGGCATGACCACGCACCTGGGCAAACACAGCTGTCCATATCTAACCAGTTTAGTGTCTAACCAGTTTAGTGTTAATTGGCAGGGGTCAATCACCGGCTGTTTCTCCCCCATATAAAGGCCCTGCAGTCCCGTCCACGGTCACTTTACTCTCATTATTCTCATCCGACTCATCTCTCTCCTGTTCGAGTCGTCATTCTGTTCACTCACACAGAGTCACGCTCGTCCTCCCCCCAGGTCGGGAGGGGGACTTCCCGACCAGACCCCGGCGTCACCAGCTAAGCAGAGCCTCCCATAGGAGACAGTCCAGTAGCACCCGCTGGGCCTCCGTCAGGTCACACGCGAGTCTTTGTCAGAGCTATCCCTAGGGTGAGTTACCTACTGTGGGAAGTGTATTCATTCATGTTTGTGTCCGAGAGTCAGTATCCAGTAACGTAAATATAATGTTCTAGTAACGTCGATATAATATTGATATTAATGTGTCTGTGTCATTGAGTCGAATAATAAATAGTTGTATCGAAGTGGTGTTTGAGAAGTTGTCCCTTAAGAACGTATAAGATAAATAAGTGTAAATAACTAGCCGGCCACGCTACGAAACTTCCTCTCTTTACATTCCTCCTACTATAAATATTCTACCTAAATGTATATCTTCTATGTGAGTTTTGTCTCATTACAATAGGATTTCCATCATAGATATGAGTAAAACAATCAATAATTATTGGATTTAAGACAAACAAAAGATCCATGTCTGTGCTTACCTAAAAGCATCTTCTATATTCATGAAGACAGCTTCAGCAACACCCTCCCTTATCATTCGGGCAGAAAGGATTGGTCCAATTGTTCCAAACAATTCTTCCATATCTTCTACACTCACACAATGGTGTAAATTTGTCACAAGTACCTAAAACAAGCATTACACAAAAGCTTAAGAGATTTTAAAATATTAAAACATTTTTTACTCAAAATTAAAGCAATAAAACAAATGATAAATATGAAGTTGAAAGTCTGATATATCTTATCCTTTATGAAATCACAGATCAATACAGATAAAATATGAGGTGCAAAATTATCAAAGGAAACATTCATTCATAAACAAAAGCCATTACCTTTCCTCCCTGAGGTGCAGCAGGTCGCTGGGGTTGATCCAGACGAGCCATGAGCCCAGATGACAGAGGAGCTACCTTCTTGGGACGATTGATAGGCTCCATTTCATTGTCATCATATATGGGCCTGAAGATAATGAAGAATATAATTTTTTATTTATTTATTTATTTTTTTTGCTAACTCCCAAATTGCAGCATTAAATTATCAACTGAGATTATTACTGTTTGCAAAGATTTTCTTACAACCAAAATTTCTCCAGTTCTTACCTCTTTTTTGCAGGTACTCTGACTGCTAATCTCTCAGGAACATCTGAATGCAGTCTTCCACTGGGGATTCTTGCTGACATTCTCACTGGTAATCTGCCTACTGACTCCCATTCATCATCATACAATGGACTTGGTTCCTAGTGCAAGAAAAGTATAATCTGAATATCTGTATTTGTTTTCTGTTAAGAAAGAGATACAACACTTAAGCTTCTCTTAAAATTACAAAAGGTAATAAAAGACTCGTAGCACAACAAGAACATCGGATTTTTAGGTAAGATGTGTGAAGTACAAATTTACACGCAAAACAAGGGCACCGATGAATAATTCTGTTGACACATTTCACTCTAAAAAGGAGCTAAAAACAAGATCTTTACTATAGCTATACCTAGATAAACAGACTGAGATGAAAAATGCCACACCAAGATCAGCACTCCCTAAATCATCTATGAAGTTGAATACCGTATATCTCGACCTACAAGACGGAATTTGAAAAAAAAAAAAAAAAAAAATCAGCCCCAAGTTAGGGGGTCGTCTTAAGCACCAGAGATAAAATTCTTACCTCTTAAATATTGCGGTTTAGCTGTCAAGAGTGGTGATGGAAACATGGTAAACAACTCACAAGGTCCTACCACTAATTATTTTATACTGAAACTTACGTTTGGGAAGCTGGATTAAAATGAAGATTACCGGTATATTAAAATAATAAAAATGTATTATAAACCAGTCTAACATACAGTAAAAGAACAATATACCCCGGTAATAAACACAGCTGCTATCATCACCCCCCCCCCCATTTGCCAGTGACAAGAAAGGGAAAGTGACCGTGACTGTGACTGCCTGTGGCTATTTTTAGCCGTCCTTGTGTTTGGAGGTGGTCAGTAATGCATATCTGTATATTTACTGATCACAGTACTTATCTCCTATAAATAATTAATTAAATTTATTTTTTTGCAAAGAATATTCAGTAAATGACTGCGTTAATTCTTGAAACTACCGACAGTGGTAAATTTAGGATGAGAATGATTAACAGAAGTCACGTCATGGATTTGTCATGGATTCGGAGTTTGATCCTTAATGATCATAAATGTCTGGTCAACTTCACCTACCAGGTATAATGGTCGCCTCCCTTTTTCGCAAAACAAGTATATAAATTAAAGAAAATACTTGCAGTGTGTTTAATGTATTACAGTATATTATAAATAAATAAATAAACCAATAAATTGGCAAATCTATTTCAAGTAAATGGAAATATTTTACTCACACCAACATTAGTTCCAGTTAAATAACTGATGCTTAAGTGAGTCACTAGTGTACACCAGCCGGTAAAATTTGATGCCAATACTTGAAGTGAATTGGCATTATTTTAAATAACCAACCATAAATAAATGAAAAAAAGATCAAAGGTGAGAAACATTATATTGTATGTATGTTGTGTTGTCAAAGGAAGAGAAACAATTGAAACTCTGCAATTGTGTGTAAATGAGGCAGAAAGATAAATCAGCAACCTAAGACTTGGTCACAATTTTTGTGATGCCATATGGAAGTAGGGTTTACCATTAAACAATACTGTACATTATGCTTCTAATATCTTCCCAGGCAGTAGAATCTCCCCGTTTGGTAGCTGCCTAAAACTTTTAGTAATATTACTTTGATACAACATGATAAATTAGACAAACAATGAAAATAAACAAACAAAAGTTATTTACCAAGACCTTCTCTCTCAGAACAGAGGGAAGGAGTGGGAGGGAAGGAGGGGAGATAAGGCGGCTATTTATAGCCTGTCTTTGTGTAGGAAGTCCACCAGACTGGAAATAATTCATTTAAAATTTATATTTTTTACATAGAATATTCAGTACATGACTGCAAGTATAAAATATTGTGAATATATATATATATATATATATATATATATATATATATA